ATTGCTTGTGAAGCGAGAAAACCGCTTCAGAAGTCTAAACGCCCCTTTGTCCGCACCGAAGCAGGTAATCCTACTGGGACGCCGACGTTGCGGCGGTGTCATTGGCTGCATCGACACGTCCCCGCACGATTAGCTTCGATACAAACAAAGGGGCGTCTCTGTTCAGACCTAAAGCGGTTTTCTCGCTTCACAAGCAATATTTTGCACTAGAAACCGGGCCATGGTCTGCATGAGGAGTCAGTAAACTGTTGGGAACTAAGGAGCTCCAAATCTGCGCGGACACTGCCTTTATGCCAATTTTCAATGATCAAACATGACACCGCGCAAAACTCATAGGAAGTGTTCGCCAAAGTGAATCACCAGAATTTGGTGGCATCAACTAGTAACCTTCCAAAAAAGCTATAACCTTAGTGTGCTGGACTCCAATCCATGCGTTAAATTTGAAGGCATGTTAGAAATCACTACTATTCCACTACGATTAATGTGCAGACTAGAGGAAACTTGGCTTTCAGGAGTCAGTGCTTGGATTGGAAGCGTGAGACTAGGCTATGGTGTACTTGGAAGGTATGCTAGCCCACAAAGATCTAGGATTCATTCAGCAACTGATTCGAGAATTCTAAAGCGGCACAATAACAATGTTGGAAAGAAAAGGAGCAATTTGAAGCGTATACAATGACAGAGAACTAGTATTTCGACTGAAGCATTTATAAGTGTAGTAATAATGTTTAGAGTGCAAAAAGTGATAACGGAAACTGACCATTACGGATAGTTCGAGGAATGGTGTCCCCTCGGAGCAGTACGGTTTGCTGCATATCGTGATCATCAATAATGCCGTCAACCTCAATGTATTCTTCGACTTCCTCTTCGTTAACAGCCTGGAAGAGCTTTGAAGTGAGACAAATGATGCATGGGTTCAGAAATCCTAAAAACTAACTTCTGGCTCTATGGTCTCTTCGTGTTCCACTTGCTCAATCCATTGATCGTCATCGGTTCCCTCATCCACACTTTCGGGTGGATCTGTCATGCTCATCTGCGCTATAAAACGAGAATGAGATCCTGAAGTGAGATTCACCTTTCACTAGTAGCGTTATCTATCTGGACTGAGCTAATATTCAGGAGTACGACGTAGGTACGAAAAGGAAATCAGAACTGCATATTCTGTCTACTGCAACTAAGAGAAGACAAACAAAAAGAGGCACAGAAAAACGCCAGAAAGTAGGGGAGATGTCCATAGACAAATGAATCGAGATTATTTTTTGTGCACTCAAAAATAGACCTAAAACGATTAAATAAATGGAGATGTGCACGTGGATTATAGAAACATCCAAGACAAATACAAAGCAACGCAATAGCGGAGAATATCACTTCCAATACCAATTTCTGACAGAAGTGAACTGAAAGAAAAATTGACTTGAAAAAGAAAGTACGCAAATGCACCCAGGCAGCGACGACGGCGGAATTCTCCGCAACATCCATGCTTTTTGTTCTTTGTTCTAGCTTAACTCATCTGTTTGAGTCTTAGAAGTTGCTTTACCAACAAATTAATCTGCATCTCAATCTTGATTTATCGAATCTATCCTTCCGTAGTCCTGCAAATCCACTTTGCGAAAATTTGGCGTCAGGATGCCGTCGAGGCTTTTTGAAAAGTTTGTCAAGTTTGAAACTCCCTAGCGACTTTAACTCTCATGGTATAATCCATGCTATCACAGGCATATGCAAGCTCACTAAGGTTGGCAGCTGGGAAGTTGGATATGGTTTTGACGAAAAGAGCAGGGGGATGTTGTTTCTGCTGGAATCAAGGGTATGCACCGAAAGGAGTAGCAGAGTTATAAATTGGCG